TTGGTTGTTTGGTGCAGATAGCCTCGTTGCTTTGCGCCATTAAGCACCAAACAACCAACCAACCATTGTTTGAATGCATTGTTATCAAAATGCACTGGCTTTTCTATGTATTATAACTTGTTATATAAGGAACCATTTCTTTTCTATATGGATTTTTACAAGATTGTCTCATTAAAAAAGATGCACATATGCATGTCCATGTATTTCTGTCTGTGATTTCTATTTGTAATATAAGTAAATACACCATTAACTAATGTTTGATACAATTATTGAGACAGTATAGATTCTGAATGATCAAGTTATTCACTCCCATTGAAATGTTGAGAAAAACAGTGTTCACTGATTTGGTAACCAAAACTAAAATCTCATTGATAAATAAAAAATTCATACTGAATGTTATTAGGAAAAACTATAATCATTATTAGATAGCTAAGAAAGTGTCACTGATACACGAAAAACGTGGTACTGATATCGTTAAAAGAAACAGTATAATCAGTGTTTTGGGAAGAAAAAAAATATCACAGTTACACAAAAAGTCGATTCTGCTATTGTTGAGAGAAATAATATTCCCTGACTTGGCAACTAAGAAGATATTGTTAGTACACTGTAAAGTTCCTACTGATGTTGTTGATTATTCTGGACTAGATAGTACCTCACAGAATTTCATTCATAAATCAAAGTCTTGGTAACCATAGTGTCACTTCTTTTCTATGTGGTTTTTTGCTGGCTTGCCTCATAAAAAGATGTGTCCACATGTTCGTGTCTGTCTGTGATTTCTATTTGTAATATAAGGAATCACTTCATTTCTATATGTTGTTTCTCTAGCTTGCCTCATTATATACACACACGGATAGATAATAATACCCAAGTGCACACCCTCATGATCCACATAGTAAGGGTGCAAACTTTCAGGTGTCTGCATTCTTTCTCCTTGTAGTTAAGTTAGTCAAACTTTTTTTCTGTGTTTTTCACTAGCCTGTCACATTGAAAAGATGCGCATTGTGCAAGCATGTGAACAAGATAAGTAATACCCAGGTGCACACCCTCAGTATGGGTGCAAAATTTAAGGTGTCTAGGTTCTTTTCACTTGGAGCTATGGCAGTCACACTTCTTTTCTATATGTTTTTTTCTTTCGCTAGTTTTACTCGTTAAAAAGATGCGCATGCACGTGGATAAGTAATAATACCCAGGGGTCTACTTAGTATGTGTGCAAAAATTTCAGGTTTCTAGGTTCTTTTATTTTGGAGTTATGGCAGTCATAGACATGCTTTTTTATTATTATACATTAAATTATTCTATAAAGGATGCTTAATACTAATTCATATGTTAATTAAATTTCCTGATCACTTATATGTAAATCATCCTAGAAATGACGATATCATGCATTAATTAAAATTTTCATTAGTTTGACAAAATATTTCATTTTACACACGATACTATATAGTTTTATCTCACACGAGTTTTACAAGGGTGGACACTAGACTTCCAGATATGATCAATGTCTAGATGTAATTACCATTGTTTAACGACTGTCTGTAGAATTTTAACAAATGTGCTGTTATCTACTATTTGAAAGAGATCATAACTTATATTTTGCTACGTAATAAATGTTATCAATACTATAGAATAGTAACACTTGCTTTTTTTTCATAAAATTTTGAGGACTGAACTTTCTTTTACTGTAGATACATGTTTAAAAACACTAATAGTGTAGATGTTCAACTGAATTAGCATTGGCTATGATTCACTTCACAGTTGGGAGTATTAGTATGTTGGCTTAGAATAACTTTTCACGTGTGAAATTTAATTATACTGTAACATCTTATCATTATTTTAAACATATGTTTCGTAAATGTTTTAAACAGTGTTATTATATATTAGACAAAGATTTCAAATTTGTGATTTAAACCGATTAAATATAGCCATGTTGAGACTCGTATCTTGTTCGTTATTGTATATGACGTCATGGTGGTCTTTGTTTTCGTATAACTATTACGTCATAGCTGTCTGTCTAGTATCAAACTAATCATCTTTGATGTCATCATCTCTTTCCTTGAATCAAATTCGATGACGAGGAACCCACTTTGAGACTAATAATGCTTGGAGACCTGATGATGACAAAACTTGTTGAAACGTTGTACATTTGCTGGTATGTTAAACTAATATTAAAGTTTTTCTTCATTAAAATCATAAATAATATTCAACGTTAAAACTGGTACACAATTAAAAACATTTTATTTAGGCCTATCTGTGGCCTTCAGAAAGTTGACGACTCTACATGTTTTGACGTTGTAACTCCTGAGAATGACGTTACAAAGTCGAAACATGTAGAGTCGTCAACTTTTTGAAGGCCAAAATACAGTAATTTTTCTTTATTACCCAGTCAAGCCATTTCCGAGCGTTATTAATCTTCTCCCTGAGTTCGGGATACGTGTGAAGCCCTCTAGCGGCGTGCCTCCCTAACTGCTATCGTGTGCAAATTCTCAGATCGGGAACCACATTTTTATGAACAGGAAAGGAAAATACAGGGTAGAAAACATTATTTAAAATTAAATTAACAGGTTAATAGCAGAAAAGGAATAGATAGGAAACATGAGATTACGAGATAACATGGTGTTATAAAGGTAAAATCGCTAACCCTCCCTTCTCTCCCTAATTAAATATTGAATAGATTAAGTAATTAAACATGAAAGCTGGAAGTAACATAGCATGGAGAATATGCTGTAAATGACTAATTTTTTATATCAGCGTTAGATCATATGAAATCATTAGATATCTAATCCATGAGCGATTTGTTCTACAAAAGTTAAGTAAAAAACGCCAATTAAAATCGGGTTCTTAATAAACAATTTGTTACGAATATGTAATGAATCTATTTTGCATAAACTAAAAATTTAACAATTCAACATTTAATGTTATCTGACTGTATTAAATATGCCGACTTTTTTTGTTTACATTTATTCAGGGAATAGCATCAGTAAAATTAAGATATTAAAGGTTTATCCAGAAATACCTCAGTGAACATCTGTTATTAGAATTTTCATTATCAGATAAACAAATAAGTAATAACTTCCTTACTTATTGGGTTTATCTCCTAGTTACTGAGTGGACGGCGTTATATTCACCATGATGAGAGACAATCAGTTGGAAGGGCTTCCTCTATCTTTGGATATCATACACGAAGCTCACTAAACAGGTTAAGAGATGATCGATGTAAGAGATTAGCACCAGTGGACATCCTTGTAAGTCGGGAGAGTAGTCTGTTTTAATAATTAGGAAAGTTTCTGTTTAATTTTCTAGTGTTCAACTTTTAACTGACATGAACAGTACTTACTGTCTAATGTGCTAACTGATATTAACACTATTATTCTTCAATTTGTTTATTTAGTGATTTTATTATGCAACATTTTTGTGACTCTGACATTATTTTGTGATTACAAAGGTTTTTATCAAATATATGCAATCATTATAAACTGGAAAGTGAACTCAGGTAATGTGATATCTACATGTATACACATTCTTTATATTCTACATGCTGGTTTTTGTTGATATTTTTAGACGTGGCCTCCTAGTCCAGAAATGGGTCGTTCAAGTTCTGTTTACAGTATTGCATCAACATTTATATCTAAGAAAGGTTCCAGGAATCGAAATCCTCACTTTGTGGCTCTTCCGCCTCAACTGGACTCCAACATGGGGTTATTAGTGCCACTAGATGAACGCTGTAAGAGAACCAAGTAAGGAATCGATATTCTAGTGGTAATTTAGTGAATCAGATGTTATATTAGACCTCACGTACTTCTAACGTGAGGTGTCTCCATTACTATCTCATGTTTTCTAAAACCAGAATTACTTAAAATGTTATTATGCTGATTGATAGTTGTGATACTTTCGTTAGAGCTAATTGTTTTTTCGCAGTGAAGTGTGACTGCTCTCCAAACCATATAAAATTTCAAGTTAAGAAACTGTCTTCACTTTTTCATGACGTAACCTGTATGAAGCAGCCTTAACAGCAATCACCTAATTTTTTAAAGAAATTTCAACGATGTTTTTCAAAGAGTTACAAATCTTTATAGTAATAATAACTAATGAATAAGTAAATTTTTCTTCATATTTTCATGTTTACTTTTTTCTCTTCTAAAATAAAATTCTATACTAGAAATGTAAAGCTGTTATGATTAAAAATTATTGTGTGGAAATTAATGAAATTTGTTTGGACGAAAAGTTTACCATTCTTCATTTTGTGATTTTTATCATTTCTGAATTTCAGATTTGTTAATGTTATAGCTGCGGTTATTGTAACCTCACTTTTGGTTGGATATTTTATAACATCATATTAAAAAATTTTGAAAACATTTGAGTCAGTTACAATATGTATTATTGTAAGTTAATTTGTTTATCGTACAAAATCTATTTAAAATTGTTTATGTAATTAAAACGAAATTTGTTTACATTTCAGAAAAGCCTGCGGCTTAAGATCTGTGAATAAATTACCTGTTTATGCCGAAAAGATGAGACCATGCAGTGAAATACTTGACAATACCTCACCTATTATAGTCATGATTGGGGGATTAAATCCACGTGACCCACTGAACTACCCAATTGGTGGGTTTCCCTTCTTTTGCGATAAGTTTTAAAAATTAAAATATTAACTCTATTTTTTTCTTTACTTCAGATCTTCTATAACAGTTTTGTGTTAATCAAACCAGTGAGTATTTGTATGTCCTAAAAATTTGTCGGATATTCTTCTTAAATTATAATATTTTCTGACAATTTATACTTTTTGGTTGTGAAAAATAAAAACTGCTGAATATCCATAAATATTTATAATGTGTTAACTGTCATATCTAGTGCATGCTTTTAACAAAAATTGAAATCATATACATACATACGTGTTGTAATTTAGAGAAGGGTTAGACAGCTTTGAATAGAGTAAGTTAGTTAGACAAGCCCAAATTATATTTTCCGATTTTTCACTAAAAGTGTTTTGTCTCTCCAGGTCACGAAGTTTAAATTATGAATTATATTATACAGTGATGTTTACGTACATACTCAAAGTTATGTTAAAAAGTGTTTTTGTTTATTTGTTTTTGAATTTCGCGCAAAGCTACACGAGGGTTATCTGCGCTAGCCGTCTCTAATTTAGCAGTGTAAGACTAGAGGGAAGGCAGCTAGTCATCACCACCCACCGCCAACTCTTGGGCTACTCTTTTACCAACGAATAGTGGGATTGCCCGTCACATTATAACGCTCCCACGACTGAAAGGGCGAGCATGTTTGGCGTGACGGGGATTCGAACCCGCGACCCGCAGATTGTGAGTCGAGCGTCCTAACCACCTGGCCATGCCGGGCCGTTAAAAAAGAAAAATGACGTATTTAAATAAGTAACATTGCTAAATTTATTGTATTTAAATATAGTACACTATGATGGCCTAATGAAATAAGTGTAATGATTTGTGGTGTTTCTTATGGACTTTATGTTGTATATATATTTAAATAATTTTTGTTCAAAAATTCTCAAATAAATCCGAATGAATTTTATTATATATCTATGACATAAATTTTCTTAATTATTTCTATCCACTTCAATTAAGAACGTTGAATGTTTAGAGGTACAGATACAAAAGTAAAATTTTTCTCAACCCCTAGAAAAGGACATGATGCACCACCTCTTCTACATTGGCAACAATATTTGAGATGTATATTTTGCTGTGACACATAATAAACACTGAGGGAAAAGAACAGATTTTAATTTTAAGATTTCACTCTGAGCTAAAATCCAATGCGTTCTTCATATGACAGATCAGATATGCGTGTTTTTTTTTAACGAATTTTGAACTAATTTCTAAGTTCAAATCAGGTTTAAATCAAATAACAAAATTATTCAAACGTCTAGTTTAGGGGTAAACGACCATAAGTTGTGACCTGAGATCACCTTGCCATTGTCAGTTCGACTGGCGGGTTTTGAATGTTCAACACATAGCAATGGTGGCCGCTTGCGCATGCAGAAAATCACGTGACTTCCAATGTAGTGTTATTTATATCTATGGCGAATATAATCTCGTGAATTAAAGTTAGGCCTTGTATTATTACAAGCAGTGTAATTAAAAAGGCTTAATACAAATGCACACTAAGTAACAGTAATTGAATCAAAACAATCGCTATATACAACATTCCTTTGAAAGGCTTATACTGAGGACACTAAAGCTTGTAATTGAATAACAATAAGACTTGTAATGCACGAAAATTGTATAATTTAATTAATCATCCTCTGATTTAATCTGATTCTTTAAATATTAACGATTTTTGTCTCGTTGTTCAGCATTTCGTACGTCTCTATAGAACTCTTCTCATTACTCCCATAAGAAGGCAATGCTGCTGTTTATCCTTAACCCTGATAAGCGTAGCAAAGCAACGAATAAAAAGGATACTTTAATTGTTTTGTTAAAATCTTTCTCGTTATTGGTCAGAAATAACCTCCAAATAGCCAATCATAAGTGTAACAACTAACCAAGAGCCTCGCGATATTTACATTCGATTAACCTCTGCTCAGATGGAGCTCCAAGTCACGGTGTAACAGCAAAGAAAGTACAAGAAGCACTACTTCGCTCCTTTTCTTTTATACGTACGACAGTACAATTTAATCATTACCTGTCACAAGATGACTGATGGTGAAAACGAAGTTTAGTTTTAAATATTTCAATCGATTTTGAATTATTTTTTACTTTTTAATTTTTACTATGAAAATACTTGTAGTCGTGTTCACTTGTACAAATATATGATATATATATATATAATGCGTGCAAATACACAGTATATTTAAAATACACGCAAATATTCCGTATATTAGAAATACGTACAAATTAATATACCGTATATTTAAAATGCGTAGAAACGTATGTATTCAAACACCTACCATTCGTCCACAACTATAAGGAATGTAAACTATTAAGGCTAAACGTTTATATCCTTAAGATCACTTTGAAAAAGACAGCAACTGTCAGACTAATAAGCTGGCACAGCGTTTTTCACAATGTAAGGGAATTCTTCTAGCTACACAATAATGGTATAATCTGACTGTCGTTCAGCGGCACAGTTTGTAATGATATATACAGTCTCTCTTACCTCCACAACGCAAGCCAGCATTCACGTTATCCAATGTTATTTTTCCAAGATTTTATTGTCAATAAGTTAACTTAGAAATATTTTTATTTCATTCTCAAAGCTTTAGAAGATTTGGCCATTTTAATACCGCGTAAAAAATTAAGCATGAAATGTTCAGATTCGAAGTCAAATGATGCTACTATAAACACTACAATTTGGAAGTTAAAATTTCGTGTGTGGATACAATAAGTTATTATATTTTAGTCTTACAGGGTTCATACTAAATTATATTATTACATTTTAAAACGTATTTAACCCTTACGTTGTTCTTGCTAGTATGTTATATTTATTTCATAACTATACCAGTTAGAGTATTTTTTGAGAAGTTTACGTAGTAATAATGATGTTTCTACTGCATCACCAGATTAAACATGCTTAACTCTATCTGAATGACTGTGCTTTATAAGCTTTGTTAGTGTTTGAATTTGCCACATTGAATAAAAACTTTACTTAGTTTTAAGAAATTGTTATTTAAATCTAAATGAATACATTTTGGTAATGTAAGCTGAATAGTGGCCATAATTGATTCGTGGAAAACTCAAGACTAGATAGTCTTAGTAAACGTCCAATATTTTACAAGCGTAAGCCTTTAAACTTAGAGTCCTTTAAATAGCGTTATAAGGTCAAACTCTTGTGCGAATTCTACTGAGAACCCAAGCAATAGGAAAATGCTGAAGTACACTTCGAATATCAATATTATGCAGCTAGCATTTCATCTGATTATCTAGGAGCTCTATCTCACAGGAGACGAAGATGAACAAAACTTTAGGCTCACCTTTCTCAATTAAGTTACATTATGATCAAAAATGAAAGTGAGTTGATAGAACTAATCTTAATAATAACATATTCAAACGTTATTCCCTCTTTAAGTTTTCCAATTCAATGTCTGATATCGTCAAGAGCTTCAAAAACTCTCTCGTTTAAGTCAGATATCAAAAATAATTTGAAGACAGCTTTCCTTTTTAATGTCAGATATCACCAATCACTTCAAGAAAGCTTTCTTGTTCAATGTCGGGCATCATCAAAAGATTCAATGAAGCTTTCTAGTTTAAAGTCAGAAGTCGACTATGTACAGAAAAAGGTTTTTACAGTCTTTAGCAAAACCAAACGTCAATTCCAGATACTTTTGGTTCCAAGTTCTTTGTTAAGAAGTTTTGATAACGTCAAAGGTACAATTGCTTTCTTGTAGGCCCCCAGTGGCTCAGCGGTAAGTGAGCAGGCTTACAACGCTAAAAATCTGTTTTCGATACCCGTGGTGGGCAGAGTATAGAAAGCCTATTGTATAGCTTGATGCTTAATAACAACCAACCAACATTCCTGTATTTTAATAAACCAACTGAAATATTACAGTAGTCAAATACTAAAGATTTAAGACATAATGCATCAACATGAAATATAATATTAGGCTTATTGCCTACTGAACGCTAAACTGATTCATATAAATCATTATTATTATTATTATATATACCACTCAAAATATCAGAATGATTACAGCAAACTTTGCAAAAGTTCTGCTTTGAGTAAACACATGTGTATCCTTGTGTCTGTAAACATCTGTATCACTACTTAGAAAATCAAAGTTTGTTTACTTCTAATCCTTTGCCCAAGGACTTCAAAGCAACATAATGGTTTCTTTGCTTTTACTTTCCCGATTAAAGAGACCAATGAATAACTATTTTGCTGTATCTACACAGTATTTTAGATGTTGATATGATTCCACAGGGATGAGCTTATTTTCTAAATTGACGTTTTTAAACCTACTTATCGTCGTTTTAACGAATTCCAAGCCGTTATTTGGCAAAGTGAAAGAAGGTACAGTTTACTGCAAGGTTCTAATTCTGCTCTCTATTCACAGTCGTGTATTTACATAAGTAACTGTTTAACTTGTCACATAAACACGATGCTCTTGAAGGTTGTCATGCAAAATGAAAACAGCGTGGCTAAAGTAACATAAATGTCACTCGGTAGAGATAAACTCCAAATTTTAGTTGTCGAATGCAATGTTTTTGAACTTACAATTAAGCAATTTTAATAGATTTTGGGTTTTAGAATCCCAATATATAAAATTATTATATACTACAGCTGAGTTTACAAAGAAACTTCCAGTTGTGAATTTTTTATAAATGTATAAAAGCTGAGGAATATGTCATATAATTTGTTATAAGCTAATTTTGTTTTCGGTAGCCATACAGTTACCAGTTGTTTACTGTGTAAAGTAGATCAGTGTTTATATTAATTATTTTCAATCATTCTAGACAGATGATAGATACAGTTACTTGATACGAACAAATCAAGTATTTAATCAGAGAAAATTAAAATTTAAACTGATCAAAACCTGCCGGACTCAAGCATATGTTTACTTCATTGGATCCGGACTAACGTTTATGCTTACCTCGCAGAATTTGCATTTAAGATTGTGTTTGCCTCACAGAATTCGGA